GGTCCCTGTACACGTGGCCTCAGAAGTATTGTGAAATTGGGTTTTCCTCCACGCCTGCCTATGCTGCCATTGGTCCAGAGTGTGTCAAGGGTCCTCAGTACCCCATTGGCTGCCTAGAGCAGGCCAGACGTAATCTGTGCCATAGGCCCAGATACCGACCTCTCCTCATTCCGTGCTGTCCAGGCCCGTAATCTGTATTCCGTCGCCCTAGCTGTACAGCCTCCTCAGCTGCTGCTGATGTCATTCGTGTCCTGAGTGTGACATTGGGTCCCCTTGTACGACCCTCCCATTGCTGCTGTTCCATCGCACACACTCTGCCATGTGCCCACTTTCAGGTCTCCTCACACTGCTGGTGGGTTCCATTTTGTCATAGGGTGCTATGGCAGATCTGACCGGGGCCTCCCAGTTGCTGCTGCCAACGGCCCGTAATCTGTCACGTGTGGGCCCCTGTACCGCGCCTCCTCATGCTAGCTGCCAGGTCCAGGAGTGTCTGTCATGGGTCCCTGTACGGCCTCCCATTGCTGCGTGTCTCCATCGCCACACTCTGCCATGTGCCACTTTCAGGGTCTCCTCACACTGCTGGTGCGGTTCGCATTTTGTCATAGGGTGCTGGCAGATTACGGGCCTCCCATTGCTGCTGCCAGGACCCGTAATCTCCTGCTCATGGGCCCTGTCATTGGGACACGCCTACTCAATGCTGCTGACCAGGTTCCAGAGTGTCTCATTGGGTCCCTGTTACGGCCGACAATTGCTGCTGTCTCCATCGCCCACCTACTGCCCAATTGTGCACTTTCAGGCTACTCATCACACTCGCTGGTGGGTTCCATTTTGTCATAGGGTGCTTGGCAGATTACGGCGCCTCCCCATATCGCTGCTATGCCAGGACCACGTAACTCTGCCCATGGGACAACAGTACCACGCCTTCCTTCCTGCTGCTGCCCAGGCCCGTCACAGTCTGTCATGGGTCCCTGTATGAGGCAAACTCCCCATTGCTGCTGTCATCCAAACGCCACAACTACTGCCATGTGCCACTTTCAGGTCTCCTCACTGCTCGGCTGGTTGGGTACTCCAATTTTGTCATAGGGTGCTGGCAGATTAACGGGCCTCCCATTGCTGCTGCCAGGCCCGTAATCTGCCATGGGCCCCTTGTACCGCCTCGCTCATGCTGCTGCAGGTCACACCAATGTGTAGTTTTCATGGGTCCCTGTACGGCCTCCCTATTGCTGCCTGTCTCCATCGTCCCACTCTCTGCCATGTGCCACTTTCAGGTCTCCCTCAAACTGCTGGTGGGTTCCATTTTGTCATAGGGTAGACTTTTTTCCATTGGCAGATTACGGGCCTCCATTGCTGCTGTTCGCAGGCCCGTAATCTGCCATGGGCCCTGTACCGCACCTCCTCATGCTGCTGCCAGGTCCACCAGAGTGTCTCATGGGTCCCTGTACGGCCTCCCATTGCTGCTGTCTCCATCGCCACACTCTGCCATGTGCCACTTTCAGGTCTCCTCACACTGCTGGTGGGTTCCATTTTGTCCTTAGGGTGCTGGCAGATTACGGGCCTCCCATTGCTGCTGCCAGGCCCGTAATATGCCATGGGCCCACCCACCCACCCCCTTACGTAACCGCACTCCTCATGCTGCTGCCAGGTCCCGTACAGTGTGTCTGTCCATGGGGCCCCCCTGTACAAGCCTCCATTGCTGCTGTCTCCATCGCCACAACTCTGCGAGTGTGTGCCATCTTTCAGGGTCTCCTCCATTCTACACTGGGCTGTGTGTTCCATTTTGCCACCATAGGGTGCTGGCAGATTAAGGTAATTCTCCCCATTGCTGCTGCCAGGCCCGTATTCTGTCATGGGCCCAGTACACGACTCCCATCATGCTGCTGCCTCGCGCCTTAATCAGGCCCTCATGGGCACCCGTACCGACCTCGCTCTATGATGCTGCACAAGGCCAGTTCTCTCATGGGTCCTGTACGCTGTTGTATCCATTGCCACATCTCTGCCGGGTGCCACTTTCAGGTCTCCTCACATGCTGGTGTGTTCCATTTTGTCATAGGGTGCTGGCAGATGACTACTGGGCCCTCCCATTGCTGCTGCCAGGCCGCGTTAATCTGCCATGGGCCCCCGTAACCGCCGACTCCTCATAGCTGCTGCCAGGCACCCATAATCTGTCTCATGGGCACCCTGTTGTACGGCCCTCCTCATGCTGTCTGCCAGGTCCAGAGCTGTGTCATGGGTCCCTGTACGGCCTCCCATTGATGCTGCACAGGCCCGTAATCTGCAATGGGCCCCCCCGTACCGACAACTCCTCATGCTGCTGCCAGGCCCGTAATCTGCCATGGGCCCCCCTGTACCCCGCCTCCCTCATGCTGCTGCCAGGTCCAGAGTGTGTCATGGGTCCCTGTACGGCCTCTCCCATTCGCTGCTGTCTCCATCGCCACACTCTGCCCATGTGCCACTTTCAGGTCTGCTCACACTGCTGGTGGGTTCCATTTTGTCATTAGGGTGCTGGCAGATTACGGGCCTCCCATTGCTGCTGCCCAGGCCCGTAATCTGTCATGGGCCCCTGTACCGCCTCCTCATGCTGCTGCCAGGCCCGTAATCTGTCATGGGTCCCTGTACGGCCTCCCATTGCTGCTGTCTCCATCGCCACACTCTGCCATGTGCCACTTTCAGGTCTCCTCACACTGCTGTTGGTTCCATTTTTTGTCATTGGGTGCTGGCAGATTACGGGCCTCCCATTGCTGCTGCCAGGCCCGTAATCTGTCATGGGCCCCCGTACCGACTCCTCATGCTGCTGCCAGGTCCAGAGTGTCTCATGGGTCCCTGTACGGCCTCCCATTGCTGCTGTCTCCATCGCCACACTCTGCCATGTGCCACTTTCAGGTCTCCCCACACTGCTGGTGGGTTTCCATTTTGTCATAGGGTGCTGGCAGATTACGGGCCTCCCATTGCTGCTGCCAGGCCCGTAATCTGCCGTGGGCCCCCGTACCGACTCCTCATGCTGCTGCAGGCCCCGTAATCTGTCATGGGCCCCTGTACCGCCCTCCTCATGCTGCTGCCAGGTCCCTGACATTGCTGAGTGTGTCATGGGTCCCTGTACAGGAACCTCCCATTGCTGCTGCCAGGCTCCCATAATCTGCCATGCCCGGGCCCCCCGTACCGACTCCTCATGCTGTGACTTTGCAACAAGGTGGAATTCAACCCTACATATGTTAACCGCCTTTACGAACAGCGAAAGGCCATCACCGATTTCCTGATGTTACAAGCGGATAAAGGTACTCCCCTGTGTAACTTAGATGTCAGCCATTGGCAGCTCATGACCGTGACACCTGCCGCTTGCTCAGGCCCTTTGAGGAGGCCACGCTATTCGTGAGTCAGCAGGACTATGGGATGAACGACGTCATTTTCCTCTAATGTTGCACGTCCTGGAACAAATGCTGTTAACAATGGTGGTCAGGTGCTGTAGACGTGCGCACAGATCTCAACGCCACATGACCCTGTGGGGCAGGACAGGAAGAAGTGGAGGAGGTTAGAGGAGGACATTGGTGCTCAGGAATTATTGAGTGAAATGGGTGGTTTCTTCCACTCAGCGGACAGGAGGTGGAGGATGCAGGAGCATCTGGTAGAGGACGGAGGAGATTCAGAGGACCCAGACGCACCGTGGCATATGCTGTGGAGATGGAGGCAGGGAGTCCCTCGCATGCATCCTTGGCACAAATGGCCCATAGCAATGCTCGGTTGCTTGCGTAGCGACAGCCGTTGAATAATAACCATCAGACAGAGGGATGACTTTTGGCTGTCCACCTTGTTGGACCCTCGCTACCGTTCAAAAATGGTGGCCTTTTTCACACCTGCTGAGAGGGAGGCCAAAATAACGTACTATAAAAACCACCTATGTAGTCAGTTGGTCTCTGCCTTTCTGCGCCAACGTCCATCCTCAGACACTGTGGGCCCTGTGCGCTCGCGTTCCGTTGCCATGGCTGCAGCAGGGGAGGGGTGGGGTGTGGTAGGAGCAGTGGCTGCTCCACCAGCAGCGGGCTGCCTCAGTCTGCAGTCGATGATGAGTAGCTTTCTTCACCAGCGCGCAGTGACGGAAAACTACTAACCAGCCCGCAGCAGCAAGCATCACGTGGACCTGGAGCAGGACCTCAAACAACAGGCTTGGGCCTACTTGGACAGCACCCTGCCAACCGAGGTAGACAATCCCCTTGACTACTGGCAACGAAAACTTGACCTTTGGGCCCCAACTAGCTGAATTTGCCCTTGAAAGGCTGTCATGCCCGGCCAGTAGCGTGGCATCGGAGCACGTGTTTAGTTTGCGGCAGGAGGTATTGTAACTCCGCGGAGGACACGACTGTCCACCCAAAGTGTGGAGAGACTCACGTTTGTGAAAATGAATCAGGCGTGGATTAGTCTGGATTTCAAACCACCCGTTCCTGACACAACTGACTAAATCCGCCATGAATCATGCCCCCAAACATGTTATTATTTTTAACATAGGGCCTCTGTATGGCCTTCAATTTAAGCTGCTTACGCTTCGCCACTCTGCCATGGGCCCCTGTACCCGCCTCCTCTTGCAGCTGCCAGGGTCCAGAGTGTGTCATGGGTCCCTGTACGGCCTCCCATTGCTGCTGTCTCCATCGCCACACTCTGCCATGTGCCACTTTCAGGTCTCCTCCACACTGCTGGTGGGTTCCATTTTGTCATAGGGTGCTGGCAGATTACGGGCCTCCCCATTGATGCTGCTGCCAGGCCCGTAATCTGTCATGGGCCCCCTGTACCGCCTCCTCATGCTGCTGCCAGGTCCAGAGTGTCTCATGGGTCCCTGTATGGCCTCTCATTGCTGCTGTCTCCATCGCCACACTCTGCCATTTGCCAACTTTCAGGTCTCCTCACACATGCTGGTGGGTTCCATTTTGTCATAGGGTGCTGGCAGATTACGGGGCCTCCCATTGCTGCTGCCAGGCCCGTAATCTGCCATGGGCCCCATGTACCGCCTCCTCATGCTGCTGCCAGGTCCAGAGTGTCTCATGGGTCCCTGTATGGCTCCCATTGCTGCTGTCTCCATCGCCACACTCTGCCATTTGCCACTTTCAGGTCTCCTCACACTGCTGGTGGGTTCCATTTTGTCATAGGGTGCTGGCAGATTACGGGCCTCCCATTGCTGCTGCCAGGCCCGTAATCTGCCATGGGCCCCTGTAACCCCCGCCTCCTCATGCTGCTGCCAGGTCCAGAGTGTCTCATGGGTCCCTGTTCGGCCTCCCATGCTTGCTGTCTCCATCGCCACACTCTGCCATGTGCCACTTTCAGGTCTCCTCACACTGCTGGTGGGTTCCATTTTGTCATAGGGTGCTGGCAGATTACGGGCCTCCCATTGCTGCTGCCAGGCCCGTAATCTGCCATGGGCCCCCGTACCGACTCCTCATGCTGCTGCCAGATTTACGGCCTCCCATTGCTGCTGCCATGGGGGCCCCTGTACCAATGGGACCTCCGTACCGATGCTGCATAATCTGTTCATGGGCCCCTCTGTACCGCCTCCTCATGCTGCTGCGCGGTCCAGAGTCTCCCTCATGGGTCCCTGTACGGCCTCCCATTGCTGCTGTCTCCATCGCCACACTCTGCCATGTGCCACTTTCAGGTCTCCTCACACTGCTGGTGGGTTTCCCATTTTGTCATAGTGCTGCTGGCAGATTATGGGCCTCCCATTGCTGCTGCCAGGCCCGTAATCTGCCATGGGCCCCCCGTACCACCTCCTCATGCTGCTGCCAGGTCCAGAGTGTGTCATGGGTCCCTGTACGGCCTCCATTGCTGCTGTCTTCATCGCCACACTCTGCCATGTGCCACTTTCAGGTCTCCTCACACTGCTGGTGGGTTCCATTTTGTCATAGAGTGCTGTATGGCCTCCCATTGCTGCTGCCCTCCACCGCCACACTGTAGCTCCACACTCTGGTTTTGGCCCCGTGACTGCCCAAATGCGTAAAGTGTGCGGTGATTCTAAGATCGACGGCACTCATCTGCATGTCATACTGACTGACAGTATATTTTTTCTCTTCCCCAGCAGACTCCAAGGGCATTTAAATTAGGGTACAGTGTTCTGCACTAATATAAAGGCTCTCTGAAGCCTAGAAACACCCTTTTTATAAGTTAAATTCGCAGCGAATATATTCGCATCGAATCAAATTTATTCCTCGAATTCGCCGAATCAGCCGAATCGAATTTTTGAATACTTCGCTCATCTCTAATTGTGATACCTACCTTACAATCCGTAATGTATATGTTCCAAATGCTAGTCAATCGGTATTCTTTATGGAAACCATTTCTCCAGTTTTAAGTTCATTCACACCTTTTCACGATCATTGGTGGGGAATTTCAATTTATCTATGTCAGCTACGTGCGATAGGAGATCCCTCCGGGGCCAACTGTCTTCAAAATATGACATAGGCTGTTTGATATCTGGAGAATACAACATCTGAGTGCCAGACAGTTTTCGCTCTTCTCATCATATCTACACCAGATTAGACTATTTTTTACTCTCATCTCCCCTACTTAAACAGATGTCAGTTCTGATATTGTTCCAAGCTCCTGGTCAGACCACTCTTTTTTGGCTTTAGATCTGTTTCTGGATCGACCATACTCTTGCACTTGCCACTGGCATTTAAATGACACACTTTTACAAAGTCAACAGAAGTCAACGCTTCCATTTCGAAAGGACTGCATGAATTTTTTTAACTTAATACAGGTTCTCTGTCAGCCTCTTCAACATTGTGGGAAGCCCACAGAGCGTTTATTAGCGGTCGCTTTATAATGGAAAGCTTGCGTCTTAAGAAGTCTAGGCTCCACCAAAAAGCTGATTTTATGAACCAATTAGCCCATGCGGGAAAAAAAGCTTATAGACTCGCCCTCTGTATCTAAGCTTCTATTAGTGATACAACTTAAGGATCAATTTAAGACACTTGAGGCTGTCGCACAGCAACTGCTTTGGATGAAACAGAAGTTTTATCATTACGCTAATAACGCATAGGATGGTAGTTATTAAACTGAAAGCCCACTTGCAACCTTCTGCTCCTGAATTTCTGTTTAAGGCAGATGGTGTCCCTACTTTTTGACCACAACAAATAGCTCAAGTGTTTGGAGATTTTTATCGTAAGCTTTATAACTGCTTAGTACAGGACGTACATCCCCCTTTCCATAAGGATTCCTTTGACGCTTTTTTTTCAACTCTCCAGCTCGCCAAATTAAAAAGAGAGGATAAGCTACTTCTAAACGCACCTATCACTATGGAGGAATTATGTGCAGCTGTTAAGGAGCTACCGACACACAAAGCACCGGGACCAGACGGATTCTCCTACACATATTATAAACAATTTATTGCAGATGTCTGTCCTGCTGTATTGGAATTTTACTCCTCTTTGTTGAACGGTGAAATTCCCCATCCACAATTCCAACACTCTCATATCACAGTTATTCCCAAACCTGGCATAAATTTAATGACCCCAGCCAATTGCAGACTTATGGCATTATTAAACAGGGATTATAAAATTTTTACGAAAATCTTAGCAAATCGTTTGGCCCATTTGCTTCCTAGAATTATTCATAATGATCAAGTGGGATTTATCTTGGCGAGACAGGCAGGGGATAATACAAGGCGTACAATTAATTTAGTGAATATGCTTCATGGCTCACAACCGCTGGCACTGTTGTTAAGCTTAGATGCCCATAAGGTGTTCAATCATTGGGATGGCCTTACATGTTTGAATTTTGACATGTGGTAATACGGGGCCCTTTTTCAATGCTATTAATGTGGTGTATTGACCTCTCAGGTCAAACTCCCCTACACCACATCTGATACTTTCCCCATGCTAAACCGAACTAGACAGGGTTGCTCTTTATCCCCACTCCTGTTGTATTATGTCTTGAACTATAAGCAGTGGCGATCAGGGCACACCCTGATATAGCAGGAGTGACTGTGAAGGGGAAGGAATACAAACTCTCACTTTTTGCAGATGACGTTCTCCTAACTATAACTAAACCTCCCTTATCATTGCCTCAATGATCTTTCTGGCTATAAAATAAACACTTCAAAGATGGAAGCTATGCCCCTAAATATCCCATCCCAAGACCTCTCGCTGCTCCAACAAAACTACCCAAATTACCCCGAATTATGCTCAGTTATTTGAAGCTAATTACCCCCCATTATTTTGGTTAATCTATACCCTTCTTAATCAATGGGATTTTCATAAGATGTCCTTAGGTAAAGTAAATGTCTTAAAGATGTACATTTTGCCGAAGCTACTTTATCTTTTTGAGACTCTACAAATTGCAATCCCTCGTGCCCAACTGCAAACTTTACAGCGAGCATTTCTTAGATTTATATGGCATGCCAGAAAACCCAGGATAGCACAGTCAGTTCTTTTGTCATCTAGAACTTATGGAGGCCTAGGAGTACCAGATATTATTTAGCTACTCATCTGAGACAAACGCTATCATGGTTCACCCAGAAACCTCAACATAGATGGGCGGAGATCGAATTAAGTTGTATTCACCCAATCCACGCGTGTTCATTACTGCGTCCCCATCATTACACACCGCCTCTTTCTCCCCTTCCTCCATTGCTAGAGCCTATGAAAATTACCCTCAAGATTTGGTCACTTTGCGTGAAATCACAGCAATTACTGTCCATGTGTTCTCACCTGTTGAACATATTGTATAATCCAGATTTCCCAGATAGTTTGTCCTACTCACCGATGAACCCTTGGGCATCTAATGGAATATTCCAACTCCTTCATCTGGTCAATCCTATTTCACGCAGAATTCGATCATTTGAGGAGATTAGGGCGTAGAAATCCATAATACCTGTATCGACCAGATTCACTTATCTGGAGTTTTGTCACTTCTTCCGCTCCCTGAACTCCTCCTTAACGTCATACCGCCCTGCAGACTTTGAGAGGATAGCTATTAAGGGTCCCTCTCAACAGCATCTTATCACCTCTCTATATAAATTGCTTCTCAATAAGGAATCTATGGATTAGAATCCCCACCGTTATATGAGGAGATGGGAGGATGAACTCCAATTTCTTCAATTTCTTTGAAGTGTTGGCAGGTGATATGGGATTCTGCTGCCAAGACCTCTCGCTGTGTTGTATTTAAAGAAAACTTATATAAAGTGTTGATGCATTGGTATAAGACCCCTGTAGCGCTCCATGCAATTAAACCAAATCTGTCTGATAAGTGCTGGAGATGCATGGAAGGAGTTGGTACACTGGCACACATTTTTTGGTTTTGTCCACAGATTGTGGGTTATTGGGTCATGGTTGAAACGGTATTGGAACAAGTACTTCATGTTGTCATGCCCCTAGGCCCGTTACATTATCTCCTGGGCTTACCCTTCAGGGGTATCCCCAAACAATCTAAAAGGTTTGGAGTGCATATTCTGACAGCCACCAGAAGGGTGATACCACGATTTTGCAGATGTCCCCTTGCAAAATCACCTTTTAAGAGCGATCTCTGAAATCAGGGAAATGGAATATCTTACAGATCTAGTGAGTGAGCATTCAGGTCATTTCTACTCTATTTGGGGGCCATGGGATCACTCTCCCTTTGGTAAACCTCCATCCTCCCCCCTCTTCTTATATAGTCCAGACACTTTTTCAAGCAATATGCCTTTGACAAATAATGCAGTATAACGTAGTCTAATGATGTGCAGGTTTATGTTGATTCATGTTCTTGAATTGAACAGATTTCATGCTGTTCACTTGTGTTTATGTTTTCTTTGATTTTGTTTTCTTCTATGCTAATGATAGATTCCTGTCATTACAACGTTTACACATAAAATTTTGTTGTTGTAACTTTGTTCTGTTTAAAAATTTGGGCATCGGCCCTTAATAAAAATCTACAATTAAAAAAAAGTGTATACCGTATATACTCGAGTATAAGCCGACCCGAATATAAGCCGAGGTACCTAATTTTACCACAAAAAACTGGGAAAACTATTGACTCGAGTATAAGCCGAGGGGGGAGGAATAGTGCCCCATCATTGGTGTCAGTGGGGGGAGGAATAGTGCCCCATCGTTGGTGACCCCTGCTCCAGCCTGGGCTCGCTCGCTCCCTCCCTCTCCCATGGTACACACTTACCGGTCAGATGTCTTCCTTCTCCGGCCGCTCTCCTCCTCTTCACTCGCTCCATCTTCGTGGTGCAGCTCGGCTCCTCCTCTCCAAGCTCCACCTCCTCGCCGGTGATTGGGCGCCTGTGTGCCTCTCCTGAGCTACAGTTCCGGCGGCCAATCACCGGCGAGGATTGATTGGGGTGTGTCCAGATGACAGGGATGGCATGTCATCTGCAGACGTTGACTCGAGTATAAGCCGAGGGGGCCGTTTTTCAGCACAAAAAATGTGCTGAAAAACTCGGCTTATACTTGAGTATATACGGTATATGGTCAAAATGTAAAATCTTATATTTACTTTCATATTAGATTTAAATGATTTCTGCAGACTGTATCAAGTTTTCCTCCTGTATTTGGCTACATTCTTTCTACCTCTACACTCACAAGCCTTGCAAGGCTTGCTTCAAATAAGCATGCCCCCAGCATGATGCTGCCATGTCTATGAAGAGAATGGTGTGTTTATGATGATGTGCAGTGTTTGGCTTATACCAAACATGGTATATGGTCTGAAGTCAAAAGGCTCTATTGTAGTCTCCTTAGAACACAAAAACGTA